AGGATTTAAGGAAGTTACCAGTCACTCTTTCTTTCTGACTATTTGCATAATTTCCATCCTGCACAGTATATTCCTCAAGTGTTGCCTTATATGGCTATACAAGGTCTATATAAATAAAACAATGCCACACCACCCCATTCTATTATCGATTAATTTAATTTTGGCATTAATGAATGATAATTAATAATATAATAATGATAATTAATATGATATTTAAGTGTTCAGTTAAACCAAGGTTTGTATTTGTATCCATTGGTATAGTCTTCATTGAATGGCATGCATCAGTCAGTCAAAAAGAAAGGGGTAGTTTTTAAAAGGAACATTGCTACACAAACACCTGCTGAGTGGTGGAGGAAAAAGAGCATGCTGGGTAATCCCACACCCCATCCTTACCACATTGACATCTGTTGTCTGTACAGTATCTTCTGCAATGGTCAGGGGTTGGCGTCTGTCTAAAAGGTTTTAAAATATTTGTGATTTATTTTATGGAGTCATCCTTTTCAGCTTCTTGCATTTTTATTTATTTTTTTGTATGAGAGATGGTACACTTGACACTTGCTTTGATGGGTGCTGTGAACTCTTATGACTGTCCTGATGTGTAAAAGAGGTCGATTAAGGCAGATAGATGCTTGAATGACCCAACAAGACTCCCGTTCAGTGCGCTGAGAGTTACTATTGAGGAATGTGGACTTGTGAATAGAACTTGTGGTGAGGGAAGTTGCCATTAGTTTGAAAGCATAACATTTCACATAGTTTCATTGCAAATGACTTACAGTAAACTCATTTTGTTCTTATGCTGCATTAAACATGCCTGCACAAAACAAAAACAGCAGACGTACTGAATGAAAACTGTACACAAAGCAGCGCTGCGCTTATAAACACTACTTTAAAGGTGAACTAAGTAACTTTTTTACCTTAACCGAACAGCTTTGGAGTCATTGTAATGTTTATATTACTGATTTCGTGTTGAATGGTGGTCGTCTCGCACCCCCCTGGTGCCTGTGAGGTCTCACGAGGTAACGAATTGCTTTACGGCAAAAAACAGATCTGATAAAATTCTGATAAAATGAGCATCAAACAGAAATAACCCGGCGCCGTATACATGTGGTGTTGGGTGCGCGCAGCTCTTAAAGGGGCCATACCTTATTTCCACTCGTTACAGCGTCCATCCTACTGAACAGGTACCGGTGTACAGGGGGAGGGGATCCGGCCGTGAGTGTGAGCCATCTCTGCGTGAGTGCTATTCACGACAGTACAAGTACTCCACAGCGACTCTAGGGGTCGCGGTTTGACAAAAACGGAATTCCTACTTAGTGCTGCTTTAATAGGCATTAGAGGAAAAGAAAATGCCATCAATTTTCTTCCAAAATTTCAAGAATTGCAAACAGTGAGCTTGCTTCGCCTGGTACAGTATTTTCTCTGCCAGTGGATCTGTGCTCTCTGCTTTTTGCGCTCGTCTCTGACCTGTGTTAACGTCCTGTTTACAGACTTTGTAATATTTCCACACAAATTACATTTTGGGAAATTATTACAGAGCAGTTTGTGTACAAATCAGTCAAAAAATAATCATTTGATGGCTGGTTCTTCTCTAATCTTATTGAAGTTAGAGATACTACAACAGGATCACTTGGAATAAAAATAGATTTAGATTCCCGATACGTTTTCCAAATGCTGTGCAGTCTTAAGTTGTCAAGTTAAGTCACCTTTATTTATATAGCGCTTTATACAATTCAGACTGTTTTAAAGCAGCTCTCCAGTGATAACAGGAAAATGATTCAATGGTGCAAACAGAGTTTATTTTGTCCGTACAACAACTGTAAAAGAAAATAGTGTCATTGTTCAGCTTAAGTCAGTTCAGTGATGATTCAGTTCCATTGTAAAGATCCAACTTACTGCTTGACTGAATAAATTTTTAGCTTTAATAAGAATACATTTATATTTAATTCATACAGTGAAGAATATGCAATATCTTATTTTTACATTTGATTATTCAATTTCGGGAGTAATTCTAACTTCATGTTAAATAAACCTATTGTATCTGAAAAAATTTAATTTAATTCATATTTTTATTATATTGTATTTGTCTTATTGTTTGTAATTTACATCTTTTTTCTTATTTTTAATAACAGAAACGAGATAAAATAACACAAAATTAACTGTATCATGATATATACAGTATATTGTTATCGTGAAATAAAATTTCTCATATCGTGAAATAAGAATTTGGTCATATTGCCCACAGCTATAGTCAGCCACTGACTGAAATGTCAACTTCACATTGTTCTTTTTAGTACCACCAAAACAACTGTTATTCAAATTGTGATTAAATTATACAGAAAGTGATCAAGGATCGCTCTCTTTTATAATCCTGGAGCTGTTAATCATTTGTGTTGTAATCAGCACAAGTTCTGCTCTCTCGCCAAAACCCGTTACCGTTACCCAGCAACTGTAATCATAATTGTATTTTTAATAGTTCCACATAGGGATGCTCATAATTACGTGGTTAACCGTTTACCCGCAATATTTTGAGATATTAATACTACCAGTTTAAGGGGGCCTATTATGCAAAATTCACTTTTATATTGTTTTTGAACATAATTATGTGTACACAACCGCCCTGTGGCAAAATCCATCCACTCCGTTTGTTATTTTCCCCATAAATTCAGGTAAAATAATCCATGTCACATTGGAACAGGCCCCATCCACGACTGGTGACTATTAGCTTAGCTCCTCCCCTGAGTGAGCTGTAGGCAGACCGCCATGTTTATCTCCCCGCCAGAGCATTTAACAGCAGCATTCAAGTAAGATATGTATTCATATTAAAGCTACTAAAGTTATTCAATCAGACACTGTGTGATTTTCTGTTTTTCTTTTGTTGTTTGATTCATATTAACAGCATATACAGCAGTAGGTATATTACGCTGCTGTCACTTTAATACACAGATCTAATATACACATGCGATTTCTTTCCCTGCTGTTTACATTCACAGACATAATGAACGTTGTGTGTATTTGACGGTTTAAGATGCAAAAGAGAATTTAGTTTAATACTCACGGACTGTCTGACAGCCAGCTTTCTGTGCGCTCATAAAACCATATATCTGAAGTTTAAAACTGATATGGCTTTAAAGCATGGAAATAATAAACTTTCATGATGACCAAGAACTCCAATGTCACGTGAGCAGGGCCGCTTTAGAGATGATAATCGAAAACAAACAGATGTTTTGCCAGTTTTTGGCAGAGTATCCGAGGCACAAGCTGTAAAGGCACAAGTGCTATTCTGGATAGTGGGCAGGGAGCAGCAGCTCATTTGCATTTAAAAATTCATACTCGCGGCGTTCTCATGGCCCTCGGGCTGCTTGACACATGTAGGCTTTGTACTTCACTCGTATTCAAATATCCACGTAAAACATCATCCTGCACATGTTTGTGCTTGGTATAACACTACAGTGGGGCGGTGGGCGCGCTGAAAAGCATAGATTGCACTCCGGAATATTTCAATTGAGCAGTGTAACTTTTGGATTTTGGATGACTGCATTTTATTGTATATAGCAGTTTCTTAGCTAAGTGTGTGATGTGATGATGTGTGAATCCTCATGTTCTGTTGTTTATGCTGCTATTTATGCATGTGAAACTTAACCCTTGAAAACAAATTTTTATATTTTTACTGGGTCACAGACACTTATCGTTTCTAATTGAATTGAATTATAATCCGACATAATCTTGTCGGTTAACAGTAAATGATCGGTTAACGAGCATCGATTGTCGGTTAGGAAAAAACCTAAATTAACATCTCTAGTTTCTACATGTATTATACCTATTTCATATGCAAAGATGTTACCCAATCATAGCAGTGGGTGTTTACATTGAAGTCTTAAAGAAGACATGCCCCTTTAAACAAAAGCATAAAAAAACAGGGTAGAAAATTATTTCTGAATTATGCCTATCTTTGATGTAAAAATCCTACCATTATTATTAGTGGACCTCAGGGAACAGTATAAAATAATAAAAATGCAATTCATTACTCCACATATCATGATGGTTTGTTCCTTTTCTTCCAATAGACTGGCTTTGGGAGTGTGTACACTGCATTAGCAACAACACATCTGCATCACAATATTGAATCAGCTTGAAACACTTGTGCCTTTGTTTGAAGGTCATTGTCTTTTCTTGTTACGTTACAAACAATATGAGGAACTGACCCACACTCCTCCTCTCACACACGCACACACCCATAGATGTCTTTTGTTTGCTGCAGTCTGCTTTTCAATGTCCATCTGGAGGAAGGGGCTTTAAAGTCATTATTGTCAAGTTCTTCTTGTTGACCTCAGCATTATGACCCTACATGCTAAATAAAGGAAGAAGTTTGACACTCCTCCTGTACAAAATTCCAGATTTCATGGCCTTGATTTAAGGCCAGTTGTAATTTAACAATGATTTGCAGATACATGGAAGTTCATTTTTTACAGTTGCGAAGTAGCGACAGATCTTTTCTTCCGTATTTTGACGTATATCTGAGTAAAACTAATTATTGAAAAAGAAAAATGTAGGGCAGGGACTTAGTTCAATCCATTGGTTGTTAATTGGATGGAGGCAGATCAGAACATGATCTTGAGGTTGATTTATTTTAACAACAGGGTGGTGTTTAACCCGACTAAATGATTGGAGGATTCCAGTGTACATCACCAGAGAAAAGTGCCATTGTTCAATCAAGACATTTTGATAAAAAAAAAAGAAAAAAAAAAGAAATATGCATGGATAAATTGTACACAATAAGATGCATTTATAAAATAGATAAAGTGAATGGATAGCGACTTGAGGGAACATGAGTTGATATTATCTATATTATGTCTAGATTCAAACTAACAGAAATAGTTTTGTATGCATGTATTTTCAGAACTTTTTAGACCCATAAGTGAATAACAGTTGAATTTGCCCAAGACACTGCCAGATCTTCATAGAAGAGTACAAACTTCCTCTTCTCCCTCTCTCCTTTTTAGAAATGGAAGAAGAACTGGTTCGTACTGTTCCCAGCCAGTCAAAACGGCATCGCAAGGCTTGAGTTTTATGATTGCTCAGGCAGCGCCAGTGATAAACCCAGCACTAAGAAAATGGACAAGAAGATAATCCGTCTGTCAGAATGCATCAGCATACTCCCTGCTGTCACTGAAACCTGCCCCAAAGAAAACATGGCTGCCTTCTATGTGGAGACCAATGACAAGACGTACATCTTTGCAGCTGAGAAATATATTACCAATGAGTGGGTGGAGAAGATGTGTGAGATTGCTTTTCAGGTGAGATGACATCATGGAGACTTTTTAATGGTTATAGGTTCTATGTGGTTAACGCTTGTGACTTTGCCCCTGAGTTCTAAGAAGTTTTTTTTAAACAGCTTTTTCAATAACTGATTGAATTTATAAAATGCCGTTTGAAAACGAATGAATTCTGTTCAGCTGTTTGACACGTGTGATAACCTTTAAACCATATTATAACGAGGTTATGGATGTATTAGGAAAATATTAAAATCCATTCCAGACATGTTGGGAATTTCCAAAGGGAATATTACTCTGTCCCTATACTAACTCAGCATCTCTCTTTCTGTCTCACTTTCTCTCTCTCTGTCTCTATCACTCTAAGGGAGGAAGTGGTTCTCTTGGTAGTTTTGACTCAAATGGACAGCAAGAGCTTCAAATGGCAGAAAATCTAATTTATTACTCCAGAGAGGAAGGTAAGAAGAGACATGTGACACACTATGAATTTACTCATGTGTTTTAACAAACTGGGTGTCCGCCAGCAGTTTTTTGGGTTTTTCCTTTGATCTATACAACTCCAAGTACTATTTCCATGTGCGATGAGTTTCTCAAAACATAGGACTTAGACATCATCTCCACTCTCAATTCAGTTACTTTTTGGTTCCTAGATTGAAGTTATTTGTATATTATCTAGACCAGCAAAACTGATCTGAGATCAGTGAATAGAAATGTTCTGTCAGATGCAAATCTAAACAGATTAGTCTTCATGCAAATTTCCTGCTCATGTTAGTCACAAAGCCCAAAATATTAGAGCTCTTGAACGTACAGTAGTTACAAATTCAAGAGCTGTTTCCAGCAAGATGTAGTTGGTTGTGTCACTCATTGTATTTTAATAGTCACAGTGAAAGGTGCAAAGGGCTAACAAGCGAAATGGAGGACAGAAAGTAGAGCAGAATCTCAGGCATTTCCCCGACCCCCTCCTTCATTGCTGGCACTCACTTCATCCAGTGCTATGCAAGGTAAACAGTTAAGGAGCCACTATTAAGTCTACTTAATGCACAAACTACCTCTTCTCCTGCTGTGCATTCTCGAGTGTTTCTAGGGAAATAGTTTGTGATCACTTCTGTTTTTAGTAAGGGCAGCACTGACTTCCTCAAAGAGTGTGAGAGCTGACATTTAAAAGGCTTTGCTACAATACAGTCTTGGACCTACAGACCTTTTCTGCCATGGCAGTGTATGACAGTGGGCATCAGAGTGTAATGTGTATTGAATAATGATTGTTGGTGCCCTGTCCAGGGGTATTTTGGTTAAAAGCAAATCCAGAGATAGACAAGACAATAAACGGAGATTACAGTGGAGCATTTAGAGAAGCAGAGGAAAGTCGGGTAATCGGTCACGGCCTTTAGTGTCTGATAAACAGAAGCGTATCTGTGCTGAATTTAGCTGGGAAATAGAGTACGGGACCCATCAAATGAAAAACATCCTGGTTGTACTTTTTATTTTGCGGATTGTTCCTACGTGATTTGAAAAAGACCAGTGTTGGCTAATTTCCTGAGATTCAAAGAATTTTCAGTGTTACTTATAAAGCCACAGAACTTACTTCTGTTAGTCTTGTCAGAACACAAATTGTAACGTTACACTGTCACAACTCAATACTATTCACGATACTTAACAAGCGTGCTGCACAAGTGCTGAAAAGTGAAGCCAAAGCATCTCGATCACCCTCAGGTGGTTGGTCCCAGTATAGGTCATAAACCCCGCCTTACCCATGAAGTCTAATTTTCCAAAGATGTTTTCTGTCATTTTAGGTAGTTTTTAAATCACACTGATTTAAGTTTAAGTGTCCGCTTTTTCAAATAAGTTTGATCTTAGTTTGTTATTTGATGCTATAAAAACGGGATTGTGACGTCATGATTGACCGCTTCTCTAAACGAAAAAGTCAAAGAGGCACCAACAGATTTTTGGGGGGATTTTCGGGAGGAGATTGGAGCTTCAACTTTAATTTCTACATGTCAATAACTGTTTATTTCACACAGTAAACTTTGTACTAACTGTTTCTGCGGGAGTGAGGGCGGGACTTTGATATTGCGGCTCCATTTCATGCTCACTACTGCGCAGACTCGGGTCCCGCATTCACTAATACGCAGAATCAGGTCCCAAATCTGTGCAAAATGTCAGCGCCATATTAGGATTTTGGCGGCTTCACTTTTCACCAATGGAAGAGAGTGAAGAGGCGTAATCTTTTTTTATAGTCTATGATACTGAACTCATGATACAATTCTATCGCGATACTTTAAAGGTGCTCTAAGCGATGTCACGCGTTTTTTAGGCCAAAACATTTTTTGTCACATACAGCAAACATCTCCTCACTATCCGCTGGCTGCCTGTCCCCTGAACACACTGTAAAGAAACGCGATCTCTGTAGACAGCCCAGGCTCCACAAACAGCAACAAAAACAAACTACGGCGACCCGCTCCACGAAACAACAAACTGTTCCAGCCAATGACCGACAAGAAGGGTTTGGGGGGTTAGTGTGCGGATGAGGAGGGGGGAGGGTCTAGCTAGCCTCCGTTTTGTTTGACAATAGTTCGAACGTCAACAAGAAGTGACGTCACCCAGGATCGCTTAGAGAACCTTTAAGCCAATATAAAGGAGAGGTTTTTATTATTGTTATTATTACTACTTTTAAGACGCATGTTAAAAAGTTAAAATGTACTGTTGATTAAAATGGTCCTAGTCTTGGTCCTAGTCATTAATTCACAGGGCAATGGTGACAGCAGAATAAAAAAATACATGATTCTGAACCTGAAATTACAGAATTATGTTAGACACACTTGCACTCTGTCACCGACTACATACTCAATTTATGAACACCTGATTTTTTACTGGTCAAATCAGACATTTGGCATTATCAGGACCCACAAATATTCCCCCATTGCATTATTGCCTACACAACATTATTATAAATTGTACAAAACCTTATAGATACATAATCCTCCATATCACCACATAACAAATTAGTAATCCCAACTATCTAATTTTATCTGCATACATGCAGTACACTCAGTCACAATATAAAACTCCGTAAAGCTGTTTTGAAACAATATGTATTGTGAAGAAATGTACCAGACTTCATCAATCTTATAAGCAGGGGTTCTCAAAGTTTTGATAGGTGAGGGCCAATTTAGGAACCCAACATTGAACTGAGGGCCGCCAAAGTGGCGGGGGAGAAAACGAAGAAAAAAAACACTGAAAAGAAAATCCCATTTGAAATTATTTTAATGACCAGGTTGCATCTCTACAGTTTACATTAGTTGCAATAAACACATTTTAATTCATAACTGAGGCTAAACCTGGCAAAACTTGTGAAAATTTTGGGGGGGAGAGAAAGAAACTTTTAAAATAGAAGCTTACCAAACAAGTCATCATCATCATTCATTTCTATCATTGCTTGTCAGTCGCGTTTCCATTATTGCAGATTTGCATATTATTATCTATCTTTTTTAACCCGTAACTGAAAAACGAAAAATAAACGGTTGTTGTCTTTTTAAAACGCAAAGTTGAACAAAATTTTAATTTGAACTGGCTTCACCAACTGCTGCGCAAAAAAGTAAATATCGACAGACTTTTTCAGATTTTTGTTTAAATGACTTTTTGCCCCTTTATTAAACATTTTAAATATTCACAAATTAATATGGAAAACATGTCGATTTTACTGGTTTTCTAAGGCCAAATTCTAAGGCCTTTCTCTTAGAACCTGGAATTTATATTTTTCCCGCAGTGATGAATGAGAAGAGCCATATAGCCTGTACGTGTCTGATCTAGCCTGATTTATAGGTGAGTTATAGGCTAATGATAATAGTTAGTTAGTTAGTTATTGTTTATTTGAGTGTCAAACACCTTTTATGGTGCCCAGCCCTCATGGGCTTATTAGACACAACAGCTTCACACATATCACCAAAATAGCCACGTGATATAAGACAAAATCTCCAACATAGTATAACTAAACCACAAAGATAAATACACATACAAATAGAGATGACATACGGGATATCATACAGGATACAGAATACTTTGCCGTAAACACCAGGCTTTTTCTATAAATTTTGCCAAAGCAAAAACATGATTATCAAACAGCCAGCACAAAATCTCCCCTTCATATTTCCAAAATATATCAGGATTTTTTAACTGAACTAATTCAAAAAGAGAGTTCCTTAAATCATAGTATAAAGGGCAATAAAAAACAAAGTGAAATTCATCTTCCACAACCTTGAGATCACAGAATTCACATAAACGTAAATGTTCAGGTATACCCTTAAATCGACCCACTTCCACTGCCAGAGGTAAGGTACTAGTTCTCAATTGCGCACAGAGAGACCTCTGCCTTCTCTTTAAATTAAGGAAAATATAAGGTTCTGTTACAAAATCATTCTTAAACTGAACATAATTTCTGAGTTTTGGCTTCTTCCATATATCTTGTTTCCAGTGATTTTCATATTTACTTAACAGTCTTTGTCTGACATCCTTTATATTACATTGAAGCTTATTGTAGTACCTTATATGCAAGTCAGACACAGAAAATATTGACAAAACTTCTCCACACCAGGGGTGATGATTTGCTCTGTCCCAGTTAAAAATTTTCTTCGTTAGCCTTTCCTCTGGCAGACGGTTCCACAATCACACCATTTCACACCTTTGTTTTACAATACATGGATCCCATCCTGCATCTCCATTCACAGCTACCTTCGCTGCATATTTATGTACCCCAAGAAAACATCTCAAAGCACGATTTTGAACAGAATTACAATCATAAACCTCTTCAAATCCCCAAACTCCTGCAGCATAAAACAAAACTGAGTCAACCAAAGATTTATATAGTTGTGTAAATGTCAAAAAACCAAGATCTGTACATAGTTTCATTTTACTCAACACAGAACCCAATGCCCTTCCAGCAGACTCTGCTAGTATTTTTCTTCCCTCTGTAAACTTCATATTTTCATCAAAAACAAAACCAAGGTATTTATAATGACTGGTATATTTTAAGGACACAGGCCCAAACTGAAATATATAAGTACTCTGTAATTCACTTTTATTCCTAAATTGAACAACTTGTGTTTTTTCATTATTAATAGTAAGACGCCATTTCCTACACCAGGAACTCATAATATTCAACATATTTTGTAAACTTACTTCATTTTCAGCTATCAAAACAATGTCATCTGCGTAAAGCAGAATACTTAGATTCATGTCCTCAATGATAATAAATGCGTCTGAAAAAACAGCGAGGCATTTTAATTGTTTATTAATAAACTAATGTTTTCTAAGTGTCGGCTAAAAACATATCTCCATCTCCGCTGTTAAGCAGATGCGCTTTTAGAGAGAAATCCACCTTTCATACGGATTACATAATCAGGTATTTGCTTTCGATTCGAGTTTGTTTGTTTAAAAGTGCACATTTTAAGCTTTAGCCTACATAGGCTATATTTTGTTTCAGTTCTCGCGCTCCAGTTCACGGAGATCATGAAAGCGCGTAGTAGCCTAGGCTACTGATTGTTTTATTTTATTTTACAAAAGCACGTTTTCTTGTTATGAGTTTACACAAATAAAAGTAGTTGCGAAAAATGCATTATTATTTTCTGTATGACCAGAAATGATAGACTAGTTTAAGTTGTTTCCACTGTTGATAGGAAAATGCAAGTGTTCGCGCCCGCGAACATTTTGAAAGGTAATGGAAACGCGGCTATTAATAAGCTTGACATTGTTAAGATTATTATTAAGTCACATTGAATATTGATTACTTGGTCAACATACCCTTTTAAATTGCAATGGGATTTGTGGTGCTGGTTTCGGTTGGCCACGATTCCTATTCCTGTGTAGACAACCACTGTTCCTGGTGGCCTTGGGAGTGAGGTCAAGTGCGATCGGTCGGTCGGACCATGTAATTACCGCTTATGCCTATGGATGCCGCTAAACGGAGATATTCATTTTTTCAAAGCAATAGTTTTAACAGTTTTACAGATGTTATCGTGGGCCGCCAGAAATGTTTCGGCGGGCCGCCATTGGCCCGCGGGCCGCACTTTGAGAACCTATGCTTATAAGCATCTTGACTGTGCTATTTCAGTCAATAAGTTACAGCTACAAAATAACCTGAATAAAACACTATGATTAGCATGTATTACAGCTGTTCTGGTGTCATAATGAGAAGAAGCCTAATTAAAATAACGAAAAGAAAAAGCTTATCATGTAGTTCACCATTCTTTCTTTCATCTTTGTAATTATTCATAACAAAAAATATTTTAACAAAATATTTAAAAACAAATTGTATGCCAAATCAGACACACATGGTGTAACCAAAGTGCAGAAACATGGAGAACAAACAAAACAGGAAACGATTTCATAGAGAGGACCCCTGCAGACCCTCAAGGTCAATAAAATATCAGATTTGGCCTTTTTATACAACACAAAGTTAGTAAAAATGTTATGCAATTACCAAAAAAACATAATTTGTTATATTAAAAAAAAAAACCTTTGGTAACACTTTACTTGAAGGGCTGTGCAAAGACAATGACAGGTTATGATGTATTGGTTTATGTCAAGTTGTCATGACAAAGACATCTCAAACAATGTCATATTTGCATTGAAAATGTCATAATTGAGCGAATGACACTTATGACAGTTGTTATAAACATGCATAAAAACTCCTTCATATTCATGATATGTGTCTTATGCACACCCCTTCAAGTAAAGTGTTACCAAAACTTTATACCTTAAAGGCACACCGCGGAACTTTTGGCCACTAGTGGCGCTCGACCTGTAACTTTCACGTCTAGCGTCCCTAGAGGCCACAAGCTCCGCAGCACTGTCGCAAAAGTCAACCGGTCAGCCCATAGACAGTGGGTCAGCCTCCCGTGTCTTTAGATTGTGTGTGCTTGCAGTGTTTGAGGTGGGCAGCCTTGCCGCGCTCGATTCCCTTATAGCAGTCTGCTGAGAGAGAGCGAGCGGGGTGAGCCCCGTGGGGCTTAGTGCTGACATGTCTGTGAGTGAATGTGGGCGCGGGACGGCGGGCACATTTACTGCACTAAAAACACCGTCGGCCTGAGCTGACTGTAACTTATGTGTGTTGGGTTCGTTTTACAGAAACCGTGGGACATGTTGTGTGTAGTGTTTGTGGGCACTGAGTCGTGGGCACGTTCACTAACGTTACATTTAATGCACATTTGACATGAGTCGACTTTATTTGTGCGAGCCCTGCACTGTGGCGGGCTGTGTTTGTGTGTAGAAATGAACAATGGGCTGTGGGCATTTTATTACACTCATAACACCATCGGCTGTGGCCGGAATACCAGAAAATACTACACTACTTATATGATTTATCTGGGTCACCTTGGAAACGGCATTTGCGTGCAGGCAAGCGTCAGCATCGGTCGGGCACCCCTCCTCCTCCTGTAGCTCACGCCAGCGAGCGAACGCTGGACCAATGGTGATCCTCGTCCTGGCTTTTCATTTGTCACTATGCCTTTTTCTTTTAGTGTCCTCTGACAAAACCATTGCCTTCTTCCTTGTAGCTGTTGGTTCGGCCATGACGAAAACATAAAATATACAGACGGCAACGGCAATCAAACGCGAGTTGAGCACTCACGTCAGAATCTGAGGAAGTTGTGGGTGGTGGGGGAAGTGACGTATGCCGTAAAGCGGTCGAATTTTGTAGTTCTTTTTGTGCTCGGGTTCCTACCCGAAACCCGAAGTTACATAGTGCTAGGAAAAGCGATACGGACACCTTCAGGCTACGGCAGACGTGTCATTCAACCTATTGTAAGTCGATGTACCATCTCAATGGGTTTTGGTAATATATTATAAAGGTTGAAAAGTTCCACAGTGTGCCTTTAAAAATAATTGTGAAAACATTTTAATGATTAAGATTAGTGTTGTCACGATACTAGAATTTCTAACTTCGATACGATACCTTGAAAAATATCGATATTCGATACCATTTTCGATACCACAGAGAGAAAAACTGCCACAATATTAAGGGGGTATTTTTTTTTATTTAAAGCTATATAACAAGTCTAGAACATGACAATGAGGTATATTTTACATAAACAAAAATGTTCTATTTGTTAATATTTTTTAATTGGACCAGAGCTAACATTATGTATTTTTATTACCTACTGTTATCAAAGATTAAAATATACTGTAACAAAAAAGCACTTAACAGTACTGACACTCTATCCTCCAATTTGATAATGTATAATAATAAGATTAAACATTCAATTTTAAGTTAAAGACATTTCATTATTGAATTCAGAGATGCCGCTGTCTAGCTGTTTAGTTTAATTAATATCTGTGTAATCAAATTGATGATAATCGCTAATGTAGGCAAATTGCAGAATTAAATAATTTTTTTATAAAGTTAAATAGGCACAAGTTAATTTACATTTGACCACAGTTACGATATTTACTTGTCTAAGATTCCTCAGTCAGATTATGTTAACTTTAAGAATTACGGTGAAAAAACGAGACAACACAGACTCATATCAACAACAATACAGGCTACCATCTTGGTTAATGTTTCAGAGAAGTTAAAACGAGAAAAGTTACAGTGTTTCCTTTAGGATTTTTTTAGCAGTGGGGGCAGGTCTGTCCAAACAACAAACACCCCTGATGCTGAGCATATATGCTGCTAAATTGTACCCCTGGAGCTTGTTCCTTAAGTCTGTTTTCACCTATACAATAATTTAAAAAAATTAGTGATGTGAGGGATTATTGATAGTCAAACAATCTTTTGGGTGCCCGCAGCCCGCTCGCAGTGTGAAGCGCGTGTCCGCGCTATTCTCTGACATGCCTGCTCGCGGTGTTCTTTATCAATCAACCAAAGCCGGTCGCGGGGGCGCCACCCTCGCCATCTTTCCATTCACTTCACTTTTGCTATTTAACCAGAGCGAATGAGACGAGTGCGTCACGTGTGGTGTTTGTCAACGCACCTTTGGAGAGAAGTGAAAGTGACCGCTCGGCTAATATCGATACTTCGGGAAATTAGTATTGGTACCGTTCAGATATTTCAGTATCGATATTTATCGAAATATCGATATTTTTGACAACACTAATTAAGATATGTATACTCGGATGTATTGAAGATTGAAGGAAAATATACATTTACATCATAATCATATCACATTTTTAGAATTATTCAATTTAACCTGTTTTTGAAAATGGCATAAGTTTTTCAGAACCAACATGAATTAAAAGAGTACATTTCTAAAAACTTGGCATGTGTTTTTAAATGTGATTTTAAAGAGGTTTCTTTTTCTTTATCATGGATTTATCTTTTTTCCATTGACCCACATACAAATTATACATGTCTTGCAATATTATATCTGAAGTGAACTCATAACATTCCATTTTCCATTTTTCAGTTAATGAATTTTGGGTGAGTGTCCAGAGGACAGAAGCATCAGAGCGCTGTGGTCTCACTGGTAATTACTGGCTCAGGGCTAATGTGGACAACCTTATTCTGAAGGACCCCAAGACTAAAAAGGATTTATTAATATGGCCTTACAAACTTCTCCGTCGCTATGGAAGAGACCGGGTGAGTATTATTTTCTGATTTTGAACTGTCCTCAAGTAAAGTATACAAAGTTTCAAACCAATTCAAAATCAGTGTAAAGTGCTAAAAATGGTAAATTGCATGACATTCAATGGCACTGAATATCTTCTGTAGGAGGGTAACAGATGATAAAAGACCTTCAAAATGGACTTAGCCTTGACTTTGTATATACATAGTCAATAGACACCCACACATTAGCATGTAGACGGCACGCATCATGCCTAAAATAATCTAACGGCTGTTTGCGTTAACCCAACATTGTTGCAGACAGCTGGCCTCATACTACAGATGACATATAAAGCAGGAACTTAAGCCACTGTTGTTTCCAACTCTGCTTCCTGTCTTTACTATAGAAACTGCCTGGGTACAGGAAGCTGGCCTTCCTCTATCCCTTATGAGTGGGCGGAAGGCAGAGCTAATGCGGTGAATGACTACTGAATGCAGGTCATGATAGTTTGAAAAGATGGTCTCAATTTATATAAGATGTTTTTAACTACTATATACTCATGCCAAAAAAATGTGTTAGGTACAATACACTTATTGGGTCTCATTCATGAAACACGAGCAGAACGAATTTTTGTGTAAATCGTGTGTAAAGTGGTTCTGGCGTAAATTTTCGGATTCATTAAAATGTTCGTATTTTCCAAATGTTAGTTGGTACACAAGAAATCTACACCTGCTCCCAGCCACACGTAAATAGTGCGCTTAACACTAAAATGCAGCCTTATTAATGAGCAAAACGTTCAATTCACCTTAATCGGGTACATATTTGCACAGCATTTTGAAAAAATATTATATATAGTAATTACATACGTTTTTTCTTATTATGAGAGCCAGTAATAGCATCTGCGATGGTGGTCCTTCTCCAGTTTGAATACTATTTTTCCGAAGTGAACTAATTCGTTTTTTGCTCTCAAGCTTAATGTCGAACCATTTTCTTCTCACTTCTGGGAATGTTCGATTAACAGATGAAACTCCATTAACTGCATCTGTAATATGCTGCCACGCTTCCTTTTTTTTAGGACCCGATACGCCACTATGTACGCTTGAAAATAAAATGTGGCGTTTTGAATGAACTTCTGATAATAAAACTTCAATTTCTGCATCTGAGAATTTTTTTTTTCATTCGCATTCATGTCATAATATGATGCCCATATATAGTTGTCAGTCGGATTTAATGGGCGGGATTTATGGTAATTGAGAATGAACGTGCACGCGCATCCCATTTACGACTGATTGGAATTCATTAACACACACACATTTCACTATCACATCTGACGTTTACGAAGTATTTGTGAATCAGGAGAAGAGTTTTCGGGAAGGTCTCTTTACGCGCAAATCACTCGCATATTTACTCGTATATTTACGAATGTTTCATGAATGAGATCCATTGTGATCCTGTTGTATTGTAAAACACTTTTGCTGCTATCAAGGTGGGATATGGGTAAGATTAGGGACTGGTTTACTCTGAGATGTGAAGGTTTAAGGGTAAGTATTTTTACATTTAAGCAAATGTAAAAACATGCAAAAAGTGCATCATATCAAATTATTAATTTAAATGTTATTACATAGTAGTTAAATACACCTAATAAAAAGTGGGTCCAAGAAGATTAATAAGCCCAGTGTGTTGGGTCCATATTGTTAGGTTAGGTATACTTTGTCCCGGTGGGAAATTTGTTTTGGCTCACGAATACAGCCACTGCAGCACCAAACATTTAAAACAAACATAATGCATAAAAAAAAACTGTATACACTGGAAAGTAATTGGCATCTTGCCACTGTATACACTGGAAAGTAATTGGCATCTTGTCACTCTATACACTGGAAAGTAATTGGCATCACACCACTCTATACACTGTATCATGCATTGGCATCACGCCACTCTATACACTGTATCATGCATTGGCATCACGCCACTCTATACACTGTATCATGCATTGGCATCACACCACTCTATACACTGTATCATGCATTGGCATCACGCCACTCTATACACTGTATCATGCATTGGCATCACGCCACTCTATACACTGGAATGTGATTTGCATCAGATCACTTTTATATTGGGTTTTTTCAAGTAAGATGCTGAAATGTTCATTTAAAGAAGGTTCGTTCAAATAACAAGTATGTTCTGTATAAGAGAATTAGAATAAAAGTGAAGAAATGTCACAAACATGTTGTCACATTTCTGACATGCTCTGCAGGTCATGTTCTCTTTTGAAGCTGGGCGACGCTGTGAATCTGGGCCGGGGAACTTCACCTTTGAGACAAAGCAGGGGAATGAGATATTTCACATGGTTGAGGAATCCATTCGGGAGCAGAAAGCCCAAGCTGAAGAACGACACCAAAGCTTTCCATCATTAGACTCTGACTGCCCAGCTCTCCAGCAGATCCGTGCTGCCATCTCAGAAGCAAACAGTCGTGAACCAGATGGAGATTCTGGTGGTAGCAAGCCTGGGTCTGCGGATGGTGTCTTTGGTCGAAAGGACAATGATGGGAAAAACATAAAGGGCCGAAGCCTTCCAGAGCCGCCACCTCCAGTTAGTGGGACCCCTCCACGATCTCCCATGCCTCGTGGGTCCAAAAATCTGTTAGAGGACCAAGGGAGTCTGTACTCGGAGCCTGCTGACTCGGTCCGTGCGCCGCCCAGTCTAGGAGACTGTTTGTACTCAGACCCGGTGGACAGTATCAAAGTCATACCCACTCCTAACCCACGCCTCAGGCCGACTGGCGAAGAGGGGGGTAGCCGCCACTCAGGAATCAAGCCTGAGCCGTTCTACTCAGACATCTATGATCATATCAGTCTGGACTTGGTGCAAAGGACCATGGCATTGGGACTCGATGGGCGAAGCAGACACCCTGCAGATGGAGGTCCAACAGAGCACATCTATGATGAGCCAGAGGGACGAGCCAGATCTACAATTCCTATCATCACGCTTTATGATGAAGCACGGTTGGAAATGCATCCCTGGAAAACCAGGGGAATGGAAGAGCCTCAAGGTCAGGAGGTGGCTCAACAACCGCTGCCACTTCCCAGACCAAAAGGCCCCAAACCTATCACAGCACCAAAACCAAGCAAAGTAGCACTGCCCAAGAAAGACCCTCATCCGCTGCCTCAAAATAAAGGCAGTGCTAACCTGAACAACAATAACAGTAGCAACAGCCATGACAGCACGGAAGTTGGTAGAAGAGGTGCTGGTGCTGGAAAAAACATGGACCTGTATAACAAAGTATCTAGACATCAGCCACCTCCAAATGCGTGGTATCCAACCATGCAGTCTCCAGACATCATCTACGACAACTTAGGAAACATTTGACTTAACCTTTGTCGACATTTAGGCAGTCACGGATAAAGGAAATGTGTCCACGTTAAGAAGGGAGTGCTCCATGTCAGGGCACAGATTGAAACCTTAGTCATGTAGTCACTGACTGTCAAAGTGGCTGAGAGCTAAGACTATACAAAACTTTTGTGTGGATAATGCCCTCTGAAAGGGCTTGTATTGGCACATGCCAGAGTTTTGCACTTCTTGGGCAAAGTAGTCCTATTTTGTAAATCTGAGTCTGTGACTTGCGTATCGGAAGAGATTATGAAGCACTTGGCATAACACTTGGTTCTCTTGCATAGGGAATTAGAGTGTTGTTGTCTGAACTTTATCTGACAGATTCAATTTAATGGTTGAAGTGGTGCAGAGACTGCACTGGCAGGTCAGTTATTGCACATACATACCTTGCATTGTTTTGCATGGAGATTGTAGCAAAAGGATACTAATCCACTGCTGTGTGTGTGTGTGTGTGTGTGTGTGTGTGTGTGTGTGTGTGTGTGTGTGTGTGCGTGTGTTTTATATGTATGAGTGTATGTGGATGAGTCAGCAGCTGTGCTGTTGTTCAACATATGATGATAATAATAAAAATTATAGTACAAGAATACTTTTCCATTTCCGAAAATGTACAAGTATGTGCACAACTGCACATCCTAGGAAAAATCTGGACTTGGTTTAAGGGGGCATGAAAATTACCCTGAATGCCCTATCCTTCAATCTCAGTCCCTTATTCATCTAGTCCTCTGTCGTCCTGAAAAGCAACTGACATCTGAGGGATAATCCTGATGCAAAGTGAATATTAATCATCTGTGTAAAAAAGTGGCCTTACTTCAGATGGGAGTTGGCCGAGTAAATATGTGTCTGCCTGGCAGTGTGTGAAGGTACAGACTGTTCTCTGTCCTGTTTTCTTTCTCGTTCACCCTCTCACTCATTTCCTTTTGTCCTCTCTCCAGTCTCCCCTAGTCTTTTCTTCCACTGCTAAAGTTTTTTTTCTTTTAAGTGGACAGCCAAAATCTGACCTATTCATCACAATCTGCTGTATTTTTTCAATGTTTAGTGCTCTTATACAGAAAACAGTGAATGTGTTGAGAGAGCAGAGTCTTTCATCTAAAAAGAAGGCATTCATTTGGTCCAAGGTCTGTCTAAGCATAGTTTACCATCATACTGGGTTGCAGTGGTACATTTTAACAGCAAATTACTCATAGGTATTAAAAAAGGAAGTGGACTGACAACTACACTTTTTCTCTCTCTTCTTATCATTGTCATTTGTAATCAGTATCATTTGTTATTTTAGTTTGACTTTGACAGTATGTTTGTATTATATCCAACAATAAGTAATCCAATAGACAAATAACTGAGTAAATATTTGAGACAAGCTAAATTTGGTGTAAACTTGGTTCATCATTCTACACACAGATGCTTTCTATTTAAAGACCCACGTTACCACCAAACTTTAAATAGTGCATGTGTGTTAAAGAGGTCAAGTTATCGGTTTCAGTTTTGGCATCATATGGATAAAAAAAGGAGCACTCTGGTTTAGTTTGGATGCCCTTGTCATGTTGTACTAGTTCCTGTTTTCTTGAATGTTTCGTTTATGTTTTCGTTCCGCTGGCCACTTGATGCTTGGATAATCGAACAGAAAACAGAACTGAGCTGTTGTTCTCTCAAGTGTGAAGCAAATGATGGGGAAGTGCATCCATTTCTTGAAAATGCTATGTCTTTCAATCAAAATTCAACAAAAAAAAACTGAGAATGCTACGATTCTTTTATAAAACAGAAGATAGTCAAATTTGAACAGTTCTTTCTAATGGATACCTTATTCTGACACCAAAATTTTATTAGTCTTGATTTATTTGATTATTCATGTAAAATATCAGTTTTCAAGTAGGGATGCACCAATACCAGTATCGTGCCCGATACTGAGTTCATGTACTCGTAAAAATGCTCCGATACCAGGCAGCGTTTGTACACTCGTGTCCAGACAAAGAAACACTGACAACAGAGAGTATAATGGGGATAAAAAAGAAGGCTGTCTATGAAGTAAATGTATCTTATTAGTGGAATATTAAACTAAATATAGTAATACCTATATAGCTGTGGTGCACGAGCTGATAAGAGGAAAACACTTTCTATAAGAGAGAAAGAGCACTTCTGTTGAATGCTCTTGATTGCTGATCGTTCACTCAGCACGTGTCATTTGTATTAAAACTAAATTGTATATGTAAGTAAAACATGAACTGGTACCTGATTTATGTATAACGAGTGATTCCCTACATTATTACAGGAGGTGTCCAAGTCAAGAAGTTCCATGAACGCAAACATCCAAAGTGCATGCCCCGAAAACCAGCGTCTCAGCGCACAAATACTGGATTGAATTGTCTTTCACCGCTCTTGCTTGTACTGACGAATTCAAGTGAACGTAGACCGTATATTCAAGTGGGGTCCGTGCGTTCGGCCTTAAAGGGGCAGCAGTCTTATAAACCTGCTGCTGTTTTAATGTTAAAGCTGCAGTCCGTAGCTTTTTTAAGTTAAAAATAATCCAAAATAATTATATTAAAAAAAAATTATTCTGCCAGTGGTCAAAACTATCTGCTTGCCATAGCTAGATTCAAAACGGTTAGCTTGTAATAATGATTTTAATTCCAGTGGTACTGGTGGGTTTCCGCGGGAAATTCGAGCATGTCTTTGCGTCATTACGTCACACCCGTACACATAAAGAAGGAGTTTCGGCTAGCCGGCTATACTGCGCGTGACGAGATGTTTAGATGTATAGGCTTTTCTCGCAGCACTTTACATAATTAAACTTATGGCATCCAGAAAGATCCAAACAACAATCATCAGTGTCAACTGGAGATTCAGCAGTTATAAAACCCAAAAGACTTCGTACTTCGGATTTAAGGTGGCTAGAGAAAGAGAAAGAAACCGTCTCATGCGAACACAATGGATTTAAACATCGGCGGGGCTTTTGAAAAGTGCGTGAACTCCGTGTTTTGAAGGGGTTCAAAACGGAAGAAGAGACGGCTTTTTTCTGCTGAACAAGTAAGACATTTCAATAGTTCAATCGTGTAACAGTACGTTTTCTTAATTCACACAGTTATGGAGTTTCCTTTGTTGTGCCTTTCTCGTTTTGCTATTATGGAGAATATGAATTCTGAACTACACAGGTAACCATAAAACACATTAAATTTAACATTAGTCACGCAATGCTGATGTTGTTAACATGAACAATTTGAGAACAAAGTAGGCTATAATTTGCACGGTTGCTGTAAATCATGTTGATTAAATCTAACGAAGCTTATCATGTCGAATGCTTTTTCCCCCTTAGTTGGTCAGAACAAAAATGGATGTTACTTACTTGTTCAGAAGACATTTTCTTATGAACATTCTTATGTTGGTCAAACTTTCAAAAAGTGAATCTGTGATTCTGTATGACAGTATCCACACAGCGCGGTGACTGACCGCAGCACTCGCCTCAAAGCACTGTGTTCATCCGCGCTGTTTCATGCCGATTTACAACCCACGTAAAGATGATAATTCCGCGAATCACTGCAGTTACAGATTTCGAACAGAGAGATGGCGACAAAGAGGAAAAGCTACGGACTGCAGCTTTAATCACACAAAGGAATCAATCAATAAAAAACCATCGCACACCTGCAGATAATAGGCATGCCTGATGAAGGTCGTGAGAACGAAACGTTGCTAATAAAGAGTTTTTAAATGCAAGTTCTGATAGTGTGCGGGAGTTTCTCGTTTGCAAATCAAACAAAGGACAAATACATTACTCACTGCTCTTGACTACCTTTAGGCTACCTTTTGTAACTTTACAAAAAGATCCATCTATATTTAATTTATATGCATATGTAATGAATATGCAGTGTTTTTTCACATTTGATTGATTACTGTAGTTTTTGTTGTAGTATCAAAATTGGAATAAAGAATAAATATTTCACTGGTGTCTAAACATTTGTAGCACTGAGCACTGCTGGAGCTGCTCTAAATATGTGCTGTGGTATTAAATGAAAGATAAAATATGATAGAGAAATAGAATGAAGAGTGAAAGTAAAAGAAGCTCATACAATGCATTTTAGCAGTCTTAATTAAGCATGAAAATATTTATTTGATGAACAAATTAAGCCAACTAATATGATTTATTTTATTTTTGTTTCTCTACCAATACATTAAAAAATTACAAATGCAGTGAAAATACAGGCATCGGTTATATGGTATCGGTATCGGCGAGTACCACAAATTAAACTATCAGACTATAAAGTGGTATCGGTGCATCCCTATTTTCAAGATTTATTTATTCTTAAAAGGGCAAAAGCAAAACATTAAACAGCAGCAAAGGATATTTTTAAAAACATTTATCCAAGTAATAATATACATAGTGTTAAGAAATATAGAATGTAGTATATAAATAAACATTGTTTATAAACATTTTATTAGTATTAGTATAGTGTATTGGTTTATAAAGAATGTACAACATTTAGTAAAGGGAAAGTAAAAACAAAAATGAAATTGTTTTAGAGAACTACTTCATTTAACAGATTTTAAACAATTCTGTGAAAAAAATTGTAAACCCCCTACATTAAGAAAACCCTTAGCAGTAATAACTCAAATTATTACAATGTTTTTTCTTAACTTAAGTGATTTGGGCACTGGTCCCTAAGACAACACATGCTTAAGACATTAGTCAATCAGAAGTAAAGAGTCATTTTGAACAAAAAAAAAAACCCCTCTGAATCTCTTTCGTAACTACTGAACAAGTTAGGAAATTGTGAACGTAAAATATGAAAAAAGGAGAATGACGTAAGATCATCTGCTTTTTCTGCCGTTTGCACAATGCCAAACCTCACCACGATGTCATAAAGACGTCAGGCGTAGGCGGTGCCAGGTGGGTGGAATGGCGGAAAGCTTAATGAGGCAATACTTAATGGGCTGTAGTAAGAGAGGCCCATTGAGTAACAGTAGAGCTCTGACCTGTCTGCTTTCAGAATCGCATCCCTCAGCTCTCACAACTCTAAACCAGCGCCTCCAACGCTGAACCTTGTTCCACGAGGTCTCGGAGCTTCACACAGTGACCTCTTTCTGTCTTTCCCCCTCTCTGTAACTCATTGAAGGCCTTGAATTCCTGCTCAGCTGAGTACAGTGTGTTTCCCTTGGGGCTGTACTGGCAGCTTCCATAAAGGAAGACAATGGCTCTACTTTTCCACTACTCTGGCCCTCTTCCTCCTCAACTCTCTACAGAGCCTTCTAGCCACAGCATTTACACTGAGAAGGCAGTTCACTCTCTTTAAACAGCCTTTCTTCTTTTCCTTTTACAATTCTGTGGTTTTGTATTTTATTCCTTTTCAGCAGCTCACAACTATTTTCCCAGTTGCGGTGCAGCCTTTGTTAAACGGTACGGCATGACGGTTAGTTTAATTACTCCTCCAAAAGAGCGAAATCATGCTGTTACTATGAGGACTGTTTTAATTGCAAACATTTGGGTAACAAAACAGCTTGTTTTTAGCATACTGGGCGTCTGAGATATGAAGACTGATTTTGCAGTGTCAGTCTCAAAGTTGCTGACATTTTTATTTGGAGAAGTAATGAGGTAATTAATGGTTAATTAATTTGAGGTGTAAAGTAAGTAGATAAATGAAGCTGTGATGTTGCACTATTAAATTCTATTCTGAAAACCAAGGAATTAACTAAGGAATCATTTTATTTGAAAACGTATTTACTTTTATCTAAAGAATAATTATATGCCGTCAAGTGTTTTTTTCTTCTTCTGTATTTTGGTCTGTATAGCTAGCTGAAGGTGTATATTGAGTTGTTAAAATGTGCTTTGTGTTAGATGAGAGAAGCAGGGATGCACAGAACAGTACTGTGTTCTCTAAATAGTAAACCAAGTTTGCACAGCACATATATATATATATATATATATATATATTTCAAATTAGTAGTACATGTAATAGTATATATCCGGTCATGTGCAAGTATGTAACATCCTGTCTGTGGGAGTTTAGAAACGACTGCTCTGAATTTCTGGCTTTGCACAGCAGTTAATGTTAGTCAGTGTGAGAGTGAATGTGTGATTTCCTCTCACAGTGAAAGTATTCTGCGCTCTCTCTCTCTCTCTCTCCTTACTGAATGATCAGAGGGTCTTCCTCCTCATAGCTGTCCTGGAAAAAGAGGGCAGGGGCACAGGGTCGGGAGTGGCTGAGGTTCAGTGAAGGGCGAGGCATCTTGTTTAAAGGAATGGACGGCAGAGGGGCCACAGTGGCTCGCGCACGGCTCTGAGACTGCCGACCCTGCGACCAAAAATGACAGAACAGGAAAAATGAGAGAGTGAGCAAGAACAAGAAAAAGCATAGAGCCAGATCATGTCAAACTCTCCACCACAGGATTCAAGTTTGCACATTAAACAAAAATTCGTATTCAAGATTCAACCAAAGTAATGACTAAAAATTTCTGTTTGCTAAGAAATTGTAAAGGAAAATGTAATTGTGTTCCACCTTCTCCAAGCCGAGCTTTAAGTGTCATTGTGACTTCTCTGTATACGCTGCTTTAGCAAAATGTCCTGTATTGCACAGAATATTGGTTCAAATCTAATTGAAAGTATTTTTAAACAAAGAACAGTATTATGTAAAAATGATTAAGAAATGCATAGGAAATGTTTCTAGGTCACTAATCAAATAAGTACATTTGCGACATTGATCATGTGACTCTTTGTACTAACAGTCGGATGTTCCTTTTCCACTGAAGCTCAAGATGCTCTTGCATGCTCATCTCAAATCATGCTGGAGAATATAATTCATCAAGCTTGACACAAAACTGATGGAACTAACATGCTTTATTTAGAACATAGGATCCGCTTGTTACATCTATTTTTCAGTGCACTAGAAGAATGACTATATTTTTGTTTTGAATTTGCTAAATATCTTTCTTCTATTTATAATGTGTGACATCACAAAGCGCTTGAGGTTGGAAAATTGGTCATGTTGAGTCGAATTGTGGCCAGATTCAAAATAGGAACCCATTTATTTGTATTGCTCTTTATCTCTCTCATTCTCCCTTTACTCTTTTTGTCTTTCCCCTTTGTGTGGGTGTTTCAGTATTAGGCCAGTGCTTGGTTTCGTTTTTGCTCTCTGGGGCAATACATTTCCCCTTCCAACATCACACACGCAAAGAATTTCTCAATTCAACCATTTGCCATAGTTTATGTCTTCGTTGATAGATGGTTAATAGAAAGATATTTCCTCTCTATTTATTTGCATTTTAGTTTGTTTTCTAAAATGTCAGATTTAGAGCTGAACATGTTGACATTTTAGTTTAAAAGTTGCTGAGGTTGACTGACACACGCCTCTTCTTTACTTTAACCTGATTACATCAAATCTATTTAGGTCAACTTAAGCCAACACTACTGGCACAATATCAGGTTTTATGCCATATCTTGTCATTATGTTTTTATAATGGAGGTATGACAAAACTATTTCCTCTAATTCCCTAGAACATTAACATGTTACTCAATACTCATCATAATAATACGAATAATTCTACAGCTATCAACTCTAACTTACTGTCCAAAACTGTTTAGTTATAGCAAACTGCAGATCAGTAAAATTCTAGAAAACACAGATCTATAAATTTATGTTCTACTCGTTCCTGTGTTGCACATACTGTATCTCAGACATTTTGTTCCATTCTACTCCTCTAACCTGACGCTGTGTGGAGCCCTCTGGTGGTCGACTGGCACCCCTGCGATGGCCTCGGCCCTGGCCTTGTGCTCCAAATGGTTGTGATGTGCGGGTGAGCAAACCTCTAAATCTCAGGTGCAGGTAAAGGTTGGAGTCCAGACAGAGAGGGTTAAAAACAGGGTCCTTCTCAAGCTGCTCTAGGGAGCTCTGGACACAGTGATCACATGATCATCATGGAGGTGTAACATGATTATTTTGTAAAGGGTTAGTAAACTCTCTTAAAGGGAAACAATTCTATTATCATTTACTCTTAAAGTTATTCCAAACCTTTTGTGGAACACAAAATAAGATATTTTGTATGTCTTTTGAACATTGTATACAATAAAAGTCAGTGGTGTCCAATGTTGTTTGGACCCCAACATTCTTCAAAATTTCTTCTTTTAAAGAAAAACAATTCACACATTTGCAGTAAATGATAACAGAATTGTCATTTTTGGATTAACTATCCCTTTAATACTAGTAATTGCACTCATTACAGAATTCACATAACCAGTTGTTAATTCTAAATGACTCAAGTTGAATGTGAGATATTCAGTGTTTTTCAAACAATGTTTGTTCATTATGTCAGGGCTATGCATTAGATGTCTGTCTATGTAATGGCACCTCCACAGTGGCGAGTGCAGGAAGTGGTGGGTCCTCCATTGAGACAGGCAGACAGCAGGGGAGCATCAGTTCTCGTGTCAGCACAGGTTTCAACAGCAGAGAGAGAGAACCAGAGGACTGAAGTACATAGTAGGAGAACACACCAGAACCTGATCCTGACCCTGGCTCTGAGCGTACCAACAGGAACCAGTCACGGGTCTGACAAACAGATTTATATATAGTGTAGCTTTTCTTTTTTTACAAAATTTTAACATCCTTAAAGCTGCAGTCCGTAGCTTTTTTTGGGTTAAAAATTATCCAAAATACAAATTTGAGAAAATACATAACCAGCCAGTGTTCAAAACTATCTGCTTGCCTTAGCTCGATTCAAAGCGGTAAGCTTGTATTAATGTTTTTAATTCCAGTGGTACTGGTGGATTTCCGCGGGAGATTCGAGCATGTCTTTGCGTCATTACGTCACATCTGTACACATAAAGAAGGAGTCTCGGCTAGTAGGCTATATTGCATGTGAGGATGCTGGAGGTGGAGATTTATAGCCTTTTCTTACAGCACTTGATATAATTTAACTTATCAATTTGATGGCGGATCCAGAAAGGTTCAAACGACAATCACCAGTGACAACTGATTCACCCGCTGTAAAATGCAAAAGACTTCGTTCGGACTTCGGAGTGGCTACAGAAAAAAAGACTCTGCAACCGGACCCATGTGAAAACAAGGATACATATCGGAAGGACATTACATGTAGTCACGCAATGCTGACGTTGTTAACATTAACAATTTGAGAACAAAGTATCGTTTGCACGGTTTTGCATGATATAAGCGATTTTTAGATTTAATCATCGCGATTTACTGCAATGTCAGAACCAGAACAAAAGTGGATGTTTCTTACTTGTTCAGATGACATTTTCCGGTGAAAATTATAATGTTGGTCATACTTTCAAAAAAGAATAATCTGTGATTCTGAATGCCAGTATCGACACCAGCGTGGTGACTGACAGCTGCACACTCTCCTCAAACATTGTGTTCATCCGCGCTGTGCCGTGTCAAGGTTGTCGAAGTACAACTCACGTTAAAGTTGATAATTCCGCGAATAACTGCAATTGCAGATTTTGAACAGAGACAAAGAGGAAAAACTGCGGACTGTAGCTTTAAATAACAGATTATCACACAGCTGTGCTCTATGAACGAACACACACACACACACACACTGACTTTAAGTATGTGGCAGAGAGCATGAAATGTCTGGTGGTTTGCTTCTATTTCATCCCAGTCCAGCTGCCAGCATGAGGTTGGTCTGATGACGAGCGGTAGTCCATACAGCACAGACTGACAAACTCCATCGGCATGAAGAACTCTGTCACACACACACACACACACACACACAACAGCTAGATCTAAAGGTGTATATCTTTAAATTATTTTTTTATTATTGATTAGATATTGCTGTATGTTATTGGTATAAATTCAGTTATTATTAGTTTATCTTGTGGAATGTAAACACCTGTTATGTTGTGTGAAATAGTTAATCATTTAAACCTTTTAATCAAAATGCAATATTTATGATTCCTCTTATTTTTTTTAAATGTGTGTATATATATATATATATATATATATATGTGTGTGTGTGTGTGTGTGTGTGTCTGCTTTTATTCCCACCATGGTTACATTTATTTGATCAGAAATACAGTTAAACAGTAATAATATTGTGAAATACTAATATTGTGAAATATTACAATTTCAAATAAATATTTTATATTTTAATTTAATTGAAGACTTTTCCGCAGCCATTTCTCCAGTGTCACACGATCCTTCAGAAATCATTCTAATATGGTTATCTGGTGCTAAATATATATATATATACACTCACCGGCCACTTTATTAGGTACACCTGTCCAACTGCTCGTTAACACTTAATTTCTAAGCAGCCAATCACATGGCGGCAACTCAGTGCATTTAGGCATGTAGACATGGTCAAGACAATCTCCTGCAGTTCAAACCGAGCATCAGTATGGGGAAGAAAGGTGATTTGAGTGACTTTGAACGTGGCATGATTGTTGGTGCCAGAAGGGCTGGTCTGAGTATTTCAGAAACTGCTAATCTACTGGGATTTTCACGCACAACCATCTCTAGGGTTTACAGAGAATGGTCCGAAAAAGAAAAAACATCCAGTGAGCGGCAGTTCTGTGGGCGGAAATGCCTTGTTGATGCCAGAGGTCAGAGGAGAATGGCCAGACTGGTTCGAGCTGATAGAAGGGCAACAGTGACTGAAATAACCACTCGTTACAACCGAGGTATGCAGCAAAGCATTTGTGAAGCCACAACACGCACAACCTTGAGGCGGATGGGCTACAACAGCAGAAGACTCCACCGGGTACCACTCATCTCCACTACAAATAGGAAAAAGAGGCTACAATTTGCAAGAGCTCACCAAAATTGAACAGTTGAAGACTGGAAAAATGTTGCCTGGTCTGATGAGTCTCGATTTCTGTTGAGACATTCAGATGTTAGAGTCAGAATTTGGCGTAAACAGAATGAGAACATGGAACCATCATGCCTTGTTACCACTGTGCAGGCTGGTGGTGGTGGTATAATGGTGTGGGGGATGTTTTCCTGGCACACTTTAGGCCCCTTAGTGCCAATTGGGCATCGTTTAAATGCCACGGCCTACCTGAGCATTGTTTCTGACCATGTCCATCCCTTTATGGCCACCATGTACCCATCCTCTGATGGCTACTTCCACCATGTCACAAAGCTCTAATCATTTCAAATTGGTTTCTTGAACATGACAATGAGTTCACTGTACTAAAATGGCCTCCACAGTCACCAGATCTCAACCCAATAGAGCATCTTTGGGATGTGGTGGAACGGGAGATTCGCATCATGGATGTGCAGCCGACAAATCTGCGGCAACTGTGTGATGCCATCATGTCAATATGGACCAAACTCCCTGAGGAATGCTTCCAGCACCTTGTTGAATCTATGCCACGAAGAATTGAGGCAGTTCTGAAGGCAAAAGGGGGTCCAACCCGTTACTAGCATGGGGTACCTAATAAAGTGGCCGGTGAGTGTATATATATATATATATATATTGTCAATGTTGAAAAAAGTATTTTTAGGTTTATTTGATGAATATAAAGTTCAGAAAAGAACAGCAATTATTTGAAACAAATCGTGTAACATTATAAATGTATTCCTATCACTTTTGACCAATTTAATGCATCCTTACTGAAAAAGAGTATCCATTTCTTAAAAAGTGTAAGCGGAAAGGGAATTATGTAAGTGTACGTCAAATTGGCCCATAATGGCTAGGTGGGGACAAGTGGTATGATTGTATCACAGTGCCCGGAAGAATGACCTCATGTGCATGAAAATCATATGCAAAACACTCAAGGGGAACACAATGTATGACTGTGTTGGAAACAGAGGACTCAAACAGAGCGGTCTCCGTCATATTGACTTTTGCATAGATTTTTTTTATCCTCTTCTCCCACACACAGTCATACTTGTACATTAACTATGTTTCAGAGGCCACATACATACTGAGTTTTTGTGTTCCTATTGAATATATCTGAACATTAATAGCCATCAAAACCACTATTATGGACTTTCCCAGGTATATGATGTATTATATTATGATATAAAACATCACAGCACTCTGAGAGCTCTGTGGCAAAACCCTATTCATAAAAATAAGTTGCGCTAATGGCTAATCTATTGTCATTTGCTTGCAGTTTAGCTCCTAAAACAAAATCTAACTACAGATGAGACTGTACTTGACAACTCGTAGGCGCTGTGGCGAGGGGTTGGCCAGACTCTTGTTTGGGTGCTGGAAATCTTGAGTGCTCTCAGTCTTCACTCCAAGGTCAGGATTGCTGGGAAGCAGGGCTGGACTGAGAAGTCTCTCCTGCATGTCGCACTTCAAACAGACTGCAGAGGGGGACATGAGCAAAAGCAACATCACATACACCTACTAATAAGCAGACACACAATACACAACAGCCTTGCAAAAATATTCATTTTGGAGCTGCGTACAGCAAGAAATAGATTTTCGAATACATATTTTAGTAGATAAACCTACATCTAAATCTGAAATAAATTCTTAAAATTCGTTTATAAACTGTATACCTGGGCTTGGCCTGTTGTTGGCAGGATGTGGTGTAGAACCCTGTGCTGTGAGAGAAGCGGGTAACAACAAGTGCAGTTGTTCTCTGTCTCCACCCTGGTCATGAAGCCACATTTTCAGAGCACTCTCCAAGGCCACAACTGTGCCCTCCACCAGCTGGAGATCCATCTCTGTCCCCAGCATCAGACTTTCTACAGGAGGAAGGAAGGGAAATACATTACACCATTGAATTTATGAGAAAAAAAATAACTAAGATCAAGTTATCCACCTTAGTTTTCAAAACAGAATGAAGCTATTTCCTGTGAATGTGCAAGACTTCTGATTCAGTAGCCTCTATAGGTAGTGCGGTAAACAGTAAAACTATTTGTTTATGATTACAATAATAAATTAAAATAATATAATAACAAATACCAGTTTGCAATATCAAGCAGAATAGCATTATTTTGTACGGCTAAAATAAATGGGAGCAGCTGAGACTGGAAGTTCAAAATGGCTGCATCCACTCTTACGTTTAAAATAAGGTGGATATCACACTCCCGTTTACCTTGATTGATTCAAACTAGTAGCATCATTTTTCAGGGGTTCATAATAAAAAGCCTGTTCAAATCAAACCAGTGTTAATCCATGACCTTTCTCCTTTTTCTTAATTATTAGGGCCCTGTTATGACGTTTGATCCCTGAACTTCATTCTTTAGATAAAACAACAGCTGGCAAATATGGGTGCTTCTCAAATGGAAGGCTGCCTCATGAGACTGTGTCCTTCCAAATCCAGTTCTTCGGAGGCTTGTAGGCGAGAGTCTTCCTCAGCATTAAAAGCTAAAATGAAACAGTGTAGTAATTCCACATGGCTATGTCACATGTTTACTTTTGGAAAAATACTTTGTATCTTTCTATTAATGTAATACAGTGAATGACAACTGCCTATGGTCTTCCAGTAGCTTATATTATTGGCAGTTTAGTGTGTTAAGTGATTAATTTACACAAAAACAAATAATAACATGTATGCCTTCCTCTCATAAAACATTATTTTTGTCTTACAGACAAGCTCAGTGCTGACTCGTTTTCCATCAGTTATTTTTCGTGAATTGGAATTTGTGCAAAAGATTGTGGGTGAATGAAGGACGCAAAGAATGCATCCTTGAAAATGAAGGATGTGAAAGAAAAGCCCTATTCGGACGGGACTAGTTTAACATGGAGAGGTGGGGTAAAGTAATAATTACCAGAGCTTCTCTGTGATTTTAGTCCCGTCTGAATGTGCCATCTCAGTAATCATTACGGACAATGTCAGTAAAGATTACAGCAACTTTTCCCTTTAGTAAAAAGGTCCGGAAAAATTACCTCTACTAATCCCGTGCGAATATAGACCCGCTGTAAATATGTACATAAATATTTTGTCATTTCCTGTTTAAAATTAGTTTTCCGTGGTTTTTCAAGTATGGAGACGCTTAAAAATGCTGGGACAAGTCTGTGGCAAAACTCAAGTGTTTTCCACATACCATTCAGATCAGAAAGAAGATCGAAAGCACTTGTTAGAGGCACGAAACATATTTTAACGTTAGGTAAGTGCCTGTTACCAACACAATCAAATCTGAAGTTAATTAATACATCGTTCGACCGGACATAACTGTTTTATATATATGTATATATATATATATAGGTTATATGTGGTTGCGCACGTGATATCAGGAAGCAACATAATACGCACATGACGACAGCAGGGTGACGGCGATGCGCAAATCGAGTTACCCCTCCCACTTCTGCTAGTTTTACTGAGTTATCGTATCCCGTGCGAATTGGCCATTAATATTACAGACGTCCTAGAGTAAAATTACATTACTCCATCTACCCTTGTAAAGTTAATCCTGTCCGAATAGGGCTAAAGACTGCCTTCCAAGGAACCTTCAAATTGAGATGGCCTTCGGCTGCACTTGATGTAGTAGCCGAGATATACAGCCTTACTAGGACACAGCCTTCACAGCATTTGAGAAGCACCCTATGTCCTGTGAGACCAATGTTGGAGTATTCAAAACAACCAGTAGAGGATGCTGTTAAGCCAATTCTGTATCTCATCAAGAATAAACATTCCAAAGACAGCTTGAAATTTCTCAAAATGTGCTTGTGCTGTGTGATATTTAATCTTGCAAATATTTTCATAATAAATTCTTGCTATGTTAGCTGTTTTATGCTCGGTAAATTTGTGATGTAAACCAGAATCCAGTTACCCCTAGCTAAAACTCTCATTTCTAGTTAAAATGATTGTATAGTATTCAAAGTCTTTGACATTTATGTTAAGTTCAGAAATATAGTTAAATGTCTTAAATATCTTAATTTATTATCTACTCATTCACTATTTTCAACTTTCTTTAGTTAAACATGAGAGGAGACATTTTGAAGAACCAAAGCATTAAAAGGATGCAGCTGTGGTAGATTTTTTCCCCTACGCAACTGACTTCGGTTGAACCGAGTGTCCTTGACACCTGAAAATATTATACTCAGTTAAGTTGCCTCTGAACGCACAGGTTGATGCCTAATAGGCTGGGAGCCAGGTCCACTCCTCAGGAGGTTTTTTGCTACCTTTTTTCACTATTATTTCCTATTATCTTATACCTTGGGCCATCACAAGTTGATAATGACCACCCCCAACTCGGCCCCGTTTGGTCTCACTCTCAGGGGCCAAAAAAACACCCTTTTTGGGAAAAGCTTTTGGCGGAATGATGTAATTGTGAATATTAAGGTACTGCAGCTACATACATGGTCATATAACCCTAATATTTTGCATGGTGTATCCTGACACATTGGGCAAACTAGCAGAAAAAGATTCTGGGTATTGCTGCCTTTTTGCTGTCAAATATCACCCTCAACATACCCCAAAAGACAAAAAAAAATATGTCTGTCCGCCTGACAAATTGTCATTAAAAGTGATCATTTTCAAGCATTTTATTATACATATCACTGCCTAAAAATATACATGAAAAACTTCCCAAGTTTATAAGCTTCAATTTAAGTCTAAGATGACCTTTCTATCTAGAGGATTACAGCTGGTATAACCAAAGTTCTCCACTGTACCTCAAATCAGAGAAAACAGAACTTTCAAGCATTACCATTCCATATGGGATTAAGCATATTTTTTTGCATATGAACAATATTTCTAAAAAGAGTTGAGACTTACTTTTCATGCAATTCACTTCATATAGTATAGCAGTACATGAGTAATGTTATGCACATATTAGATATTGTAAAATGGTCATGTCTGTGCTGATTGGACATAGTTGCAATAGTAGCGACAGATCTTTCCTTCTGTATTGTGGTTGTGACTTGGTTCTATGCATTGGTTATTAATTGGATTTTGAAATGTGGGATTGTGGGCATTGCACTCCAAAGCAGAGGCAGATGGACGTGAGCTTGCAAGGGCAGAGTTTAAGTGGACAAAATGATTGGAGACGTCCAGCATCCGTCAACAGAGAGAAGTCTTTTTCACTGGAAGTTCCACTTATGACATTTTGATTAAACATTACAAGGTCAAATATATATAAATATATATACAGTATATATATATTTTTTATTATTAAACATATGCATGGATGAATTGTTCACAACAAAATCTATAACATGCATTGAGAAATAAATTTAATTTCATGCTGACTTTACATGTAATGTGCTGCAACCGTTAGAGTGGAAACTGAAATGTATGTGAACAATCATGGCCACTCTCTCTGGACTCCGTGTCTATCTAAATTATTTATGTGTTCTCTAGAGTGCTATAGGAGGGTCTTAAGAGGGTAATGGGGTTTCACAGTACATTTTTATTCTTTCATTCCCAAACAAACTCAACTGGGAGAAAACCCTGATAGCTGGAGTAAGAGAAGGAGAAAATGAAATCCATATCAACCGTTGACAATCAATAGGGCACAATTGTACAGTTCTGGTGAACATACATTCTGCACAGAAGGTTAAACTTAAACTCTCTGGGTCAAATAGCACCATTTAAATCAATTAGATACAGTGTATATAAAGTAATTGCTTATTCCTATGCCTCCAAACAAACTGTCAGCCTACATTGGAATCAGTTTCTACGTATCATTGAGTCAAATGTGCACTAATGAGGTGCAGAACAGATTAGGTCAGCAGTTCTTAAATTTAAGTACTGAATAAATACATCCTATTACAGTGCATCTCAGTGCTCATACGCAGTAGATGTGGCCCAGATGGAGAGGGTGAGAAAAACACAAGTGTGAATGGAGAGTGTAAAAGGCCTAGAGTAAAAGGCAAATGACACACATCCCCCGTATCACTTCCTTTTGACACATAAGATTGGATCTCCTGATGCCACTTGTCATAATCCTTTTTTTCATATAAAACTATGCCTTTTTCAATTTCATTACAGTCCTATTCAAATGTGCTGTACTGTTCCTCTTTTCAGATCCTTTCATTCACAAGTTTATAAACTGATTCATGCAGTTGTAAGAGCTCTGCTTAAATCGATGTTTTTGAGAAGTGCTGCTGTGCCTATAAGCTATGCCTTTACCAGTTCTAGGGGGTGCTGTTGTACTGATAGCTTATTTTAATTGATACAGATGGCAAGGGTTTATCAGGCTATATACACTGAGGCAAAAAAAAAAAAAAAGAAGGTAAAATAAAACCACTTTGCAGCTTTGGAAATAAAATCTGAAATGAAGATATGAAACATGTGGTGCCTTATTACATTTTAGAGGCTTAGTTTACTTAAATTATTTTGACAGAAGTGTTAGGATCACAAGTTTAAAAAACAAGCTTGAAGGCTTTACAAAGTATATTTTGCTCTGTAAAGTAGAAACATATGATTTAAAAATTAGAAGAGAGTCAATCATCAATGTAATGCAGACAGGTTTTTATTTTATTTTTTAAATATTTTTTTTTATCAGTTTAAGTAATAGCTTTCAGTGAAGATAACAATCTGTCAGACCATGGACTGGACAACTCATTCATTGGTAAATACTAATGGGAGGTAATTTATCATTTTAAAGCTAAGTGAGATCAGGCAAGTCTTGACTTAACATGCATCATGCCCCAAGTACAGTTAATTAGTCTTTGAGATAATTGAACAAATCACCTTAACTATTAAAGTGTTGGATTTCTTTCAGAAAAGATTATTTCTCTGTGTCCATTATCACAATAAATGATGACAAATGGGAAATGAGTATTAAAGGGTGAT